GGGTCGTGGCAGATGGCGCGTTGTTGTATGCGAACTCGATGAGTGGCAGCTGCTGCTCCCACGTGTTTGGATCGTCACACGTGGCTCGAATCAGCTGTTCCATGGTCTGGTTTGTCCGTTCTGTCTGTCCGTCGGTTTCGGGGTGATAGGATGAACTGAATTGAAGTCGCGTGCCGAACTGCTGCCACAGGTTCCGCCAGAAATTATTGGTAAACTTCGTATCCCTGTCGCTGATGATCGACGTTGGTATCCTGTGCAGTCGAACGACGGTGGTGATGAAGAGTCGGGCTGTTTCCTCGGCTGTGATTGATTTCCTGCATGCTGCGAAATGAGCCATTTTCGTCAGTCGATCGACGACGACCAGGATCGCGTCATTCCCACTCGCCCCAGCTGGTAATCCCGTGACGAAGTCCATCGTCACCTGCTGCCAAGCACGCTCTGGAGGCGGGATGGGTTGTAATTGTCCCGCCGGCCGCTTCCTGCTTGACTTCATGAGCTGGCAAGTGGGACACGATGCCACGTGTCGTTGCACGTCGGTCAACATTTCTGGCCAGTAGTAGTACCGCTGCAGCTGCTGCCGTGTTTTTTCTACTCCAAAATGTCCCGAGGTAACTCCGTCGTGTGCCTCCTGTAACAGTAGTTCCCGTAATAGTGTGTACCCTGGTACCCAGATGCGGTCGGTTCCAGCTTTTACGTAATAGACTCCCTTGGCTGCTGCGAATTGCTGTGAATTTCCTCCTGTGAAGAATGGGTCTGTTTGATATCCGTGGGTAAATAGTCGTGTCAGTAGCGGGCTGGTCTGGGCGAGTAGTATCGCATGGATCTGGGCAGTGGGGCGGGTCAGTGCGTCGGCGATATTCGAGGCTCCTTTTTTATATGTGACCGTATAGTGAAAATTCGACTCGAGGAAATCGAGCCACCGAATCTGTCGTGGGTTGAGGTGGGGCTGTGCGCGAAGGTACTGTAGGGATCGATGGTCTGTCCGTACTGTCACGTCTGCGCCGGTCAAGTAGCAGCGCCAAACTTTGAAGGCATGCACGATCGCGAGCATTTCGCGGTCGTGTATCAGGTAATTTCGCTCAGGTGGATGTAGTTTGCGTGATTCGTAGGCGATGGGTTGGAGGCCGTTGCCGAAGTCCTGTAGCAGTACTGCTCCGATGGCGATGTCACTCGCGTCTGTAACCACTTCGAAGGGGCGGTGTGGGTCAGCGATGCGTAGGACGGGTGGTGGACAGAGAACATCTTTCAGGGCAGAGAAGGCAGCATGCTCTTTCTCCCCCCACGTAAAAAGGACCCCCTTACGCATTAAATCAGTGAGCGGGGCTGTTAAGCGCGCCATGTCGGGGACGAATCGACGAACGTAATTGACAAACCCTAAAAAACTCTGTAGTTCCGTGATGTTCGTCGGGGGATGTGTCAGAATGTTATCTTATGCTCTACCCTGTAGTGGGGTGCTCTATAGCGAGTACAACCCTTCTAGGGTTTGCTATTTGTATCCCCATTCTTGCTAGTGCAATCCTCTTCTTTCTTCAAACTTTCTCATGCTATCAGAGCAGGTCGATCCCCTTTGATCGATCCTGTGGGTGGGCTTACCACCTTCTCGCTTCCGCTGCTACTACTGCAACTACCCTCTGAGCCGCACGCCCTGTGGCGTGCGGCATTTTTCTTCCCGCCGTGCGCCCCGAGGCGCGCGGCGGTTTTCTACCCGCTGTGCGCCCCGAGGCGCGCGGCGGTTCTCTGCCCGCTGTGCGCCCCGAGGCGCGCGGCGGGCTTCTGCCCCGTCGACCGGCGCGTCGCCCTTGGGCGGCGCCGCGACGGGCGACGGGGACCCGTTCGTCGCCCCCCGTCGCCCGTCGTGGCCTGCGCGCGGCACGTACGGGCCGCGCCCGACCCGTCCGCGGCCCGTACGGGCTGCGCCAGGCCCGCGCACCACCCGTACGGGCTGCGCCAGGCCCGCACGCGACCCGTACGGGCGTCGCCAGGCCCGCGCGCGGCTCGGGCCCCCTGCGCGCGGCTCGGGCGACCCTACCTGCGGCCCTGGCCCCGGCCCTGCCGCCCTACCTGCGGCCCCATCGTCCCGCCGCCCTACAGGCCCGACCCCGTCGCCCTACCTACGGCACGTGCACCCCCCCCCCCCCCCCCCCCCCCCCTTTTCCCGTCGCCTGTCGAGGCGACCTGAGGGGGCCTAGGGGGTGGCGAGTAGGGGGTGGCGGGTATGGGGGTGGCAGTTGTGCCTTCCTCCCTTTGCTCCTCCTCCTCCTTCGTCTCCCACTGCTGCAGCTGTCGCTGAGGGGGGTGGATGTGTGGGAGACTGGGTTTAGGGTTTAAGGGGGGTGCGTGGGAGTGGAGCTAGCGGTGTAGCAGTGGGTGTGTATCAGGGGGGTGGGACTGTCTGCGGGAGGTTGAGTGGAGGCTGCCAGCTTGTTGTCCGCAGCACCTGTAGTTCGGGGCGTTGTCCCGGTAGCCCAGTGAGCTTGTCGCTGCGCCAGTCGCCAGTGGGTCCGTTGCCCGTCTGCCGCTGCGTAAGCCGCGGGGCCTGTTGCTCCTGTAGTCCGGGCGCTTAGTCCGGTAGCCACTGTGCTCGCCACTCCTGTTGCCCGTGTGTCTGCAGCTTCAGCCGCCGCCTTCTATCTCCTCTCCTCTCACTCTCTCTCCTCCTCCTCACTTGCCCGTTGTGACTACCACTAGCTTTGCTCATAATTGTGCACTCTAAACTATTTCTTCTTGAACTTGTGCTCAGAATGTGTGGTGACATTGTGATCCACCCTGAGCTTGTACTGCTTTGCCTGCACTGCTGATTACACCCCACTTTGGCTATGGGGGTGTGTCAGAATGTTATCTTATGTTCTAGCCTGTAGTGGGGTGCTCTATAGCGAGTACAACCCTTCTAGGGTTTGCTATTTGTATCCCCATTTCTGCTAGTTCAATCCTCTTTCTTTCTTCTAATTTTATCATCTACCCCCCCCAAAAATTGAGATAGTGGGGAAGCGAAGGTGTGGATGCGGTCCGAGATGGGATCGTAGGCTCTGAATACCAAGTGTTACGAGTGCAATTGAGTGAACGAACGAGAATTGCACTATCGAAGCAAGAGTCCAATGAGCGAAGGCATGAGCGAAGAATATACGGTATAGCGAAACTACAGTGGTAACGGTAATGGTCGCGCGACGAGCCTGGGACTGAGGTTGGGAAAGTGTCGAAGCGTAGGCCCGGAGCGCGGGTTACCAGCCGAGCCGTGAGGTCGGGATGCGATGTGCAAAATTGGCGGGATGATGAATGATGCGATGGTCGCGAGTGGTAACGGTGCTGACTGAGGTGCTACAGTGATGTACGCGTTGAGCAGGGATGCGAAGTAAGGAAAAGGGAATTTCCTTACATCGAGGAAGGCGTGACGGTGGAGGGAGGAACGCGTTACAGTAAGACTTCCGTCAAAACAACTTGATATCTGAACTTTGTGTCTGTAATCCACCACTCTTCAACAACTGGCCTTAATAAATTTTGACCGTCATGATCTGTATTTCTAACCTTGCTGTCGAAGCCTTGCCTTTTGTTGGAGAGGTCACGAGTTCAAGTCCCGTGAGTGAGAGGCTTACTATTTTGTGGCGGTGATTTTCGGCCTAATCCCACGTCCGCGCACCCCATGTCTTGTACCCTATGCATTTTGGTAAGTCCGAATCAGTGTGACTCAGTACACTATACTGATGGTTCAGTGTCACTGGTACACCTATACACTAATTCGTCAGGGTAGTCCTATACTTTTAAACTGGAAAATCAGTGCAAATATAAAGAAGATACTGAAATTTCAGGGAAAACGAAAATCACAGCTACAAAATCAGCCTAATCAGTGTGTTTACGCTGATATCTGAGGGCCTGCTCACCAGACTCGCATAACGTTGTAATTTCGCTAGTCATTTCAGCGCGGCAGTAATTTCTTGGAAGATAGAAAAATTATTGCTTACATCGTGGTAGTTAACCCTTGGCAAACCTGCCGGGCAGCAAGGGCTCTCTTTGAAAAGAAGTAGCGTGTGGGGGGTCGATTCTTGAGGCGCCTCAGCAACTGCGGCAGTGTTAAGGCCAGCAGCAGCAGCACCGCCAGTGGAAGCAGCAGCAGCAGCAGCAGCAGCAGGTTTCGAGGCGCGTGGAGAGCAGACAGAGTCACCCCCATGGCTGCAATGCACGATGGTTCAGAGGGTGGGTTGGTGCATGCAGGGTGGATACTGAGAGGAAAGAGTTGTGGGAAAAGGTGATGCGCGTAAGCAAGAAGGGATGCCAGCAAGCAGGCATGTTGACAAGCAGGCGTGTTGGCAAGCAGGCATGTTGACAAGCAGGCGTGTTGGCAAGCAGGCATGTTGACAAGCAGGCGTGTTGGCAAGCAGGCATGTTGACAAGCAGGCGTGTTGGCAAGCAGGCATGTTGACAAGCAGGCGTGTTGGCAAGCAGGCATGTTGACAAGCAGGCGTGTTGGCAAGCAGGCATGTTGACAAGCAGGCGTGTTGGCAAGCAGGCATGTTGACAAGCAGGCGTGTTGGCAAGCAGGCATGTTGACAAGCAGGCGTGTTGGCAAGCAGGCATGTTGACAAGCAGGCGTGTTGGCAAGCAGGCATGTTGACAAGCAGGCGTGTTGGCAAGCAGGCATGTTGACAAGCAGGCGTGTTGGCAAGCAGGCGTGTTGACAAGCAGGCGTGTTGGCAAGCAGGCATGTTGACAAGCAGGCGTGTTGGCAAGCAGGCATGTTGACAAGCAGGCGTGTTGGCAAGCAGGCGTGTTGACAAGCAGGCGTGTTGGCAAGCAGGCATGTTGACAAGCAGGCGTGTTGGCAAGCAGGCATGTTGACAAGCAGGCGTGTTGGCAAGCAGGCGTGTTGGCAAGCAGGCGTGTTGGCAAGCAGGCGTGTTGGCAAGCAGGCATGTTGGCAAGCAGGCTCGGGAAGACAAGATTCAGCAAGGACGAGCTTATGGCTGAAAAATAACAGAAGAAGAAAGCAGGAGCCGGCTAGTCAGCATTCAGCAGCTGGCACAACGTGAGGCAGCAGCAGGCATACCGTGGGAGACACACGTGCCAGCAGCAGGCTGTGGCGTGTACCCCTCATCACAGACGCACTGGCCCTTGGGTTCACAGTAGGGTGGCGGCAGTTCATCCCCAACCTCACAGGCACCCATGTTGTGAGAGGGGTCCGGCTGGAAGGAGCACACGCCACGGCCGCTGCACGGTGGGGTGAGCGGCTGCGCCCCACAGAACGCCCGGCACTCGCTGTCACCTCTCTGGTCCTCCCCACGGCCGCAGTAGATGGAGCTGTTCGCAAGGCAGTTGTGGTGGAAGAGACACAAGCTGTGGTAGTCTGAAGGGTCGTCTAGGCCGGTGGCGTTGAAAGGGAGAGGGTCTGCTGTGGATGTGAGGTAGTTGTGGTCTGCTGACAGTCCGCGTTCCGAAGTGAGACGGGCCATGTTGTGGAAGGAGGGCAGCTCTCCCGTAAGCTGGTTAAATCCAAGGTGGCTGTGATGCAAAGGGAAGGTGGGAGGGGAAGAGGTGGGAGGGCAGAGGAGTGCTTAGGAATGGGAGTGATGAGACAAGAGTAGGATTTTGAGTCGTCGACTTTTGACTTGTCAAACCAAATTTTCATTCTCATATGTCAGCGCTGAGTTGGATCAGCCGGGCGTATCAGTGCTGTATGATTCTTCTCATCATTTCTTAGGCATGGACAGGGCACTCAGGAGGAGGAGGAATGCTGAATGAGTCAGGGTATGAGCACGACAGGGCTCCACAGAAACGACGGTCGACCCAGGAGGGGAGATTAAGTGGTGCTATGGGATGGGAGTAGGTGGATAGCTTTCACTCAGAACGGCTGACGAGGTTGACACCCTTCAAGTCAATGCGGCCTTCAGCAAGAAGTAAGGAAAGAGACGTGTGGGCGGCAGAAAGGAAGGAGACGTGCGAGTCGCAGAAACGAGTTGCTGCGAGTAGTAGGGGTGACGTTTCCGAGAGAAGAAGCGATGAGCAGCAGTAGTGCTGACAGTTGTTGGAGATTACTGCATGGGGTGACTGCCTGGTGACTCAACAGACATGCCTTTTGAGTTGATTCATCAGCAGGTTGCTTTTAAGGATCCCTTGTTTACTCAAAGACACCACCACTCAAGGATGACACTTGGGGGTGGGGACGACCGAGAAGGTAACACTGACAGGATTTCGAGATTAGCGAGCGTGGTGATTGCAGCAGGTATCGTCCCCGCAAGGCGATTGTTGCTGAGTTTCCTGAAGACAGTTGGATGGATGGACGTGGAGGGAAGGGGGGATGAAGAGGGGATGAGGTGATGAGGAGGAGAGACGAAGTGGGGAAGAGGGGAAGAGGATAAGGGGAGAAGAGAGGAGGAGGAGAGGAGGAGGAGGAGGAGAGGAGAAGTGAAGGAGAAGTGAAGAGGAGAGGAGGATAAGAAAGCGGATATGGTGCCTTGGAAAAGCGTGAGTGCTGTTGCTGAAAGGTTTGTGCCTTGAGAAACATACACCCGCAGATCAGACGGAATTAAAGCCAACAAAAGTGCCTCCGCACTCTCGTACTCATCGCCCTCGTCTCCCCTCCCTCCCTCTCATTCTGTTCCTCATCCTACTCACCCTCTGAAACCCCCAATGCTCGAGAGGCAGGTGGTAAGAAGGAATGGAGAAGGGGGGTGGAGGGAGAATGAGCGCACAGGAAGGCGAGTGCAGTGAGGTGGGCGATGGAGGCGGGAATGGTGTTACTCAGCCAGTTGTCCTGCAAGTCCCTGCCATGGTATAGCATGTGATGGCATGGGATGGCATGGGATGGCATGGGATGGCATGGGATGGCATGGGATGGCATGGGATGGCATGGGATGGCATGGGATGGGATGGGATGGGATGGCATGGGATGGGACGGGACGGGATGGGATGGGATGGGATGGGAAGGGATGGGATGGGATGGACGGGCAGGCCATTAGCCCAGGGATGCCTCCACTCGCTCACTCACTCATTCCATCACTGAGCCACTCACTCTCTCACCCCCTCACCCACTCACTCACCCACACATTCACCCACTCGTCACTTACTCGCCCACCCTCTCTCTTGGCCTCTCACTCTCATACTCATTCGCTCACTGAGGGGGACGAATGATGCTGCCATGTTAGAATATAACATATGTGAGTCTATCATGGTGCAAGTGTTTCACCCAATGTGGGTGTACACTTTGGGGCCAACACGGCCCAACCAGGTTTGGTTGGGTGTACCCCAATCCCACTCGACCGCATTTGACGGGGGGAAAGCAGCTTGGTTGGTTCATCCAAACCATCATTCTCCCTCGCCCTCCTCCCCCCCCCAAAATTGATAGTCAGCCCAAAGCATTATTTAATGACCATTCTTATCGGTCAACCAAAACCAATAATGCTTTGAGTATCTCTCCAAGTTACCCTCACGGCCATGCCATGTTTTACCTAATGAAATCAACTCTTAAGTTCACCTCTCATCCCAAGTGTGCAATTCTCACACGCCACACCTGATCACCCCACAGCACCTTGCATGCCTACCCCATCACCACTCACAACTCCCGCAGCTGCTTGAGGCTGCTGACTGCCTCAATGGAGCCTGAGAGACTGTTTTTGCTGAGGTCTCTGGAGCATGATGTGGGTGTGTGTGACGGAGAGGGGAAGGTGGAGCGGAAAATGCGGAGAGGGGAAGGCGGAGAGGAGGAGGTGGGGAGGGGAAGGCGGAGAGGGGAAGGCGGAGAGGAGAAGGTGGGGAGGGGAAGGCGGAGAGGGGAAGGCGGATTTAGTTGCTTTTTGCTAATAGTGGAGGTAAAGGAGGTGTAAGGCGGAAGAGAATGGACGGGGGGACAGCAGGGAAGAGGGCAGCAAGAGAGATGGGATTGGGTGGGATGGGGTGGGATGGGATGGGATGGGATGGGATGGGATGGGATAGGATGGGATGGGATGGGATGTGATGGGATGGGATGGGATGGGATGGGATGGGATGGGATGGGATGGGATGGGATGGGATGGGATGGGATGGGATGGGATGTGATGGGATGGGATGGGATGGGATGGGATGGGATGGGATGGGATGGGCTGGGAAGGGATGGGATGGGATGGAATGGGTTGCACAAGCTACAACTCCCCATCACCACTCACAACCGCTGCAGCTGCTTGAGGCTGCTGATTGCCTCTGGAATGGAGCCTGAGAGACCGCTCTGATATAGTACCCTGGAGCATGGGGAGGTTGGGCGGACGCCGGAAGGGAGGCGATGCGAAGGGAGGTGAGGGGAAGGGCGGAGAGAGGAAGATAGGCATTGAATGCAGGGAGGTGGAAGGCAGGAGGGAAAGATGATAAAGCGGAGTGAATGGTGGAGAAAATGGAGGAGAGAATGGAGGAGAGAATGGAGGAGAGAATGGAGGAGAGAATGGAGGACGGGTGCGAACGGTGCAGAGTTCTTTTGTTCTTTTGATTCGAGCTTCCTTGTGCAACGTGGCTGTGTCATATAATCACTTTACAGCTGACTGAAACGCATGTAGAGTTTCGAGAGATTCTTGCTGATAACACAGGGCAGGGAATCATAGTGCAGAGAATGGGAGAGAGGGGGGTGGAGGGAGAATGAGAGAGAGGGGGGTGGAGAGAGAATGGGAGAGAAAGGGATGGAGAGAGAATGGGAGAGAAAGGGATGGAGAGAGAATGGGAGACAGGCGGGTGGAGGGAGAATGGGAGATAGGCGGGTGGAGGGAGAATGGGAGAGAGGGGGGTGGAGGGAGAATGGGAGAGAGGGGGGTGAAGGGAGAATGGCCACACAGGGTGGTGAGTGCGGTGAGGTGGGCAATGAAGGTGGGAATGGTGCCACTCATGCTGTAGCAGTGCAGCCACCTGCCATATGGTTGTGTGGAATGCCATGTGATGGCATGAGATGGCATGTGATGGGAGGGTATGGGATGACATGGCATGGAAGTGAACATAAGGTATAGCATGTGTGACAGGTTTGTAGAGCGATGGCATGGCAAGGAAATGAAGATATGTACAGCACGTGCAGCAGCCCATGGCAGAGGTGGGCTCTGTAAATTGATGGCAGCCCATGGCAGAGGTGGGCTCTGTAAATTGATGGCAGCCCATGGCAGAGGTGGGCTCTGTAAATTGATGGCAGCCCATGGCAGAGGTGGGCTCTGTAAATTGATGGCAGCCCATGGCAGAGGTGGGCTCTGTAAATTGATGGCAGCCCATGGCAGAGGTGGGCTCTGTAAATTGATGGCAGCCCATGGCAGAGGTGGATGGGGTGCCCTGCCCATTGCCCTGGGTACTGGGTACTAAACAAGCTCTGTGGATATATTTGAGTACTCTCATAATCAATCTACCCAGGAAGCTTCAGTAAAACGACCGACGTTGTTGGAGAAGCTCCAAAGGGGGGAAAAAAACTCGCAGTCACACAAATACGAGAACTCTAGCGAAGTTCCGTTGCAAAAACACAAGATGCGTTCGAAACGGACTGTAGGCAGCACCAACGGTCTCCTCCTCAATACTCATGGCTTGCAATGCTTTCCCAGTGTGGTTGAGATGGTAATGTGAGTTGCGGCATCAGGCAACAATGGCTTGCAGGACTCAAAATGCACTATCAGTATCCTAAATACATATCATATCACAAGAAACGATACACATCCCACTATCAACAATTTTCCGTACAGATTTTCCAGGTTGGTGAGTGCTCCTATTGACTTGGGGATGGATCCCGTCAGATCGCTCTCCTCAAGGGCTCTGCGATCAAGTGCGGCACAGTGCGGTGAAGTGTGGCGCAGAGAGGAATGGTGGAGAGGAACGGTGGAGGCGGGGTGTGGAAAGTTGATAACGCATTGCCTCACATGCATCCCCTGTGCACTGCAGCACCAACCTCGCAGCACCAGCAGTGCACATACCTTCAATGCATGTGTCTGCTCTGCCTGTGTCGTGCAATTCAGCACTCACAACTCCCTTAGCTGCTTGAGGCTGCTGATTGCCTCTGGAATGGAGCCTGAAAAGTTGTTCTCCCGGATAACTCTGGTGCATTGAGATGGTTGGGCGGAAACGGGGAGGAGGGAAGTGCAGAGAGAGGAGGGGAATGACTGGCGAGGGAAGGACGGAAGGGAAGGTATGGGTAAGAGAAGAGAATAGAAGCGGGAAGATGAAAAGGGAGACGAAGAGGCTGTTGGGAGCATTAGAGAGTTGTGGACTGTTGGTGCATGGCAGATGGTGCATGGCAGGTGGTGCATGGCAGATGTTGCATGGCAGCACGCACAGTGAAGTCAAATCTGTGAGGCTGAAGATCCACGCAGGCAGCTCCCCAGAGAAGTCATGATTAGACACGTGCCTGATGATGGAAATAGTCAAGAGAGAAGCAGCAGCCATGAGGCAAGGAGCAGGGAAGTTGCAGAAGAAAGGGGTATGAGGGACCCACGAATAGGCGTGAGGGGATGAGCAAGGTGAAACAACGAGCGAGGAGAACAAAATAAGTGAGGGAGCATGGTAAGAGGAGGGGCTATGCGAATTTCCCTGTCATGCTGCGGTGCCATGCACATCACTTCACATGCCCTTCAGGCTTCGCACATCCGGTAGGGTGCCATCACATGCCATCACATGCCATCACATGCCATCACATGCCATCACATGCCATCACATGCCATCACATGCCATCACATGCCATCACATGCCATCACATGCCATCACATGCCATCACATGCAATCACATGCCATCCCATGCCATCCCATGCCATCACATGCCATCACATGCCATCACATGCTCCTCACCCGGCCTTACAGAGACTGCAGCTTCTGCAGCTGGGAGATCTGCTCTGGTAGTGACTCCAGTAGATTGTTACTCGACAAACGCCTGCTTGCACCACGCATGCACCACGGATGTGGAGGGTTAAGAAACATCCGAGGGTGCTGCTGCATGGGAGAGGGGACGGTTGACCAGAGGCTGTTGACCAGAGGCTGTTGACAAGGGGCTAAAGGAAAGAAACGAGTGGCAGGAGATTAATTGGAGTGGGGAGCAGCAGGCAGTGCAGGTGAGAGCACAGAGATCAGAGCAGAGGGGTGTGAGGGGCCAGATGGGGTGTGAGGGGCCAGATGGGGTGTGAGATGCGACATGGGCAATGCTGAGGAACAACGCTGTAAGCCTCCTCTTGCTCCACCACTTGCACTCATTCTCTCTCCTCACTCATTCACTTACCTCTCACCCACTCACGCACCCATTCACTCCTCTCCCACCTGCTGCACCTCTCCCCCCCAAGCGCACTGACAGGCGGGTGAGCTGCTGCAGATTGCCCAGCTCTTGCGGAGCGGAAGCTTTGAGATTGCCGTGAGAGGCGGTGCCGCTGCATTGATGGGCCGTGGCAGGCAGGAATGGGGGAGGGCAGGGAGGGGAGACAGCAGGAAGGGGAGGGAGGGAGAAAGGGTAGAAGAGGGGAAATGAGGAGGAAGTGGAGTGGATTTGATTCACCCGAGAAGGGGGGAGTGTGGTAGGCAAGCAGTTGGGCGTGTATTTGCAGGTAGATTGGGGAAAGAAATGAGGGTGGCCGATGGAAAACAGGTGGATCACGGTGCTGTGAGAAGAGGGAGGCGCATGGGAGAAGAGGGAGGCGCATGGGAGAAGAGGGAGGCGCATGAGAGAATGTGGAACTGACAGGCCCATGGGAGAGGTCAGCCTGCCTAGGGTATCCGGGAGCGAGCGAGGGAGTTGGTTGCAGCGATCCAGTTCCCTGCAGGCAGTCAGCACACGCAAAGATGGTGAAGGGGCATTAGAAGCATGGGTTGGTGGATGGATGCAGATAAAAATACGAGAGGGGGAGAGGAAAAAGAGAGGGACAAAATACGAGAATAGAGGAGAAGGCAGGAAAGACAGGTCAAGCCATGTTCAACCAATCGAGTGCAAGACAGTCACGTGCAAGTCCGTCCAAGCGAGGATAAGTCAGTACAAGCAAGGAGGATTCATTACAAGAAAAGGCAAGTCAGTCGGGGGAGGTGGGGGAAGGAACGCGTGAAGGCCAGTGGGGAAGGGAGAGTGAGATGACAGGAGTCTCACAGATCCTTGAGATGGGACAATGCGAGTAGAGCCGTGGGCAGCAAGCCAATGAGGGCGCACCTATCTGTGATGGTGCTGTGGAAGGAGACGGATGGCACGGAGGGTAGGAGAATTGAGGTAGACTCAGATAGAGGTTTCACAGATGCGAAGGGAATGAGTTCAAATTGCACAAGGAAAATGCAGGACAGTGCAATGCCATGCTTACAGTGCAATGGCATGCTTACAGTGCAATAGCATGCTTACAGTGCAATGACATGCTTACAGTGCAATGGCATGGTTACAGTGCAATGACATGCTTACAGTGCAATGACATGCTTACAGTGCAATGGCATGCTTACAGTGCAATGACATGCTTACAGTGCAATGACATGCTTACAGTGCAATGACATGCTTACAGTGCAATGACATGCTTACAGTGCACTGACATGCTTACAGTGCAATGACATGCTTACAGTGCAATGACATGCTTACAGTGCAGTGACATGCTTACAATGCAATGGCATGCTTACAGTGCAATGACATGCTTACAGTGCAATGACATGCTTACAGTGCAATGACATGCTTACAGTGCAATGACATGCTTACAGTGCAATGACATGCTTACAGTGCAATGACATGCTTACAGTGCAATGACATGCTTACAGTGCAATGACATGCTTACAGTGCAAGGACATGCTTACAGTGCAATGCCATGCTTACAGTGCAATGCCATGCTTACAGTGCAATGACATGCTTACAGTGCAATGACATGCTTACAGTGCAATGACATGCTTACAGTGCAATGCCATGGTTACAGTGCAATGACATGCTTACAGTGCAATGCCATGCTTACAATGCAATGACATGCTTACAGTGCAATGCAAGGATAAAAAATAAGACCGAAATATTGCTTTTAGGGCCGTATTATACGGTATCGTATTATACGGTCGTTTAAAACGGTTTAGTACGGTGAAATGTTTTGTTTAATTTCGATGAAAAATACGGTCGTTTTTTTCGACCGAAATTTTAAAACAAATAAAGTGTACACCGAATTTCAACAATCAGCCCCGTCGAGTTTGATATGGGGGATTTCGTGAGAAGTCTTGTCAGTCTCGCTCGAATTTGGCCCGAGTCGCGCATGTCAGGAAAATGTCGTGGCACGACATTTTGACATCTAACGAACGGTATAAAATCGCTTACCCGTTTCGCAGTGTCGTTTGAGTAGTTCGCCGAATCGCGACGACACCAAATTTCCGAGGCGCGGAAATGTACACCATTGGCGAACCCCTTCAACCTTCTTACCCGTTTCGCGGAGTCGTTAGCACAACTCGCGCACTGGGTTTAGTTTTCGCCTGCAATCGTGACACCTCGCACAATTGCGCGCGACACAATTCCAGCCAATAGTAGTACTCCAATCCAACTCCCATCTCACGTCATCCATTCTTCAAACACCCCTCGACAAAGCAGCACAATCAAGGAGTAAGAGATACATATTGGAGGAGAAAAAACCCATTCGACACATTCATCCTCTATCTGGCTGGCGTTTCTCAGAACTACAGTCTCTGACCCACGCTTTCTTAGCATAGTCACCTTCACCGCCATGGTGCGTCCCGCTTCTCAGTTTTGGGAGCACGTCATTAAGATTAAGGATGACGAAGGCAACGTAGTCGGTGCTACCTGCATTCATTGCAAGAATCCTGTGACGGCTAACGCGACTAGGATAGGCGAGCACATGTTCGGCACTAACAAGAGGGACAAGAACGTCGCGACGTGCAAGTCGGACTACGCTAAGCAGCTGCGGGCGACATCCGATCAGGAGCGCTCGACCACGGGGAATGCTATGGGAGGATCAAACCGTGCCTCCACGTCCACGGTGGAGGCGCCGCTCGTGCGTCGCTCCCGGCAGCGAGATATCCGTGATATGACGGACCAAGTTGCGCATAATTGCCTTGATTACCTGTGGGCTGCTGCGGTGGCCGAGAACGACCTCGCCTTCAACGCCAGCAAGTCGAAATCGATCCAGGCGTTCGTTGACGCGGCGTTCATGTACGCGAAACCGTACACCCTCCCAACCCCGTACAAGGTATCCGACCCGCTGCTGGATAAGCTGAAGGCGGATTCCGAGGACCTGCTGCGGCCGCTGAAGGAGAGCTGGAAGACCAGCGGGTGCTTGCTCTCCATCGATGGATGGACAGACATCAAATCCCGCGGTTTTGTGTGTGTCATCGCGCAAAATGACACTGCACCCGTCATCGTCGACATCGTCGACTCGAAGTCCGCCAAAAAAACTGGGGACTACTTGGCAACGCTTATTCAGGGAGCGATCATCACTGTGGGGCCGAAGCATGTCGTCCAAGTCGTGATGGATAACGCTTCGAACAACAAAAACGCCGCCAGCAAGCTAAGCGCGGATTATCCCCATATCTTCTTCACCAACTGCGCCGCCCACTGCCTCGACCTCATGCTGCACGACATCGGCAAGATCCCTGCGGTGAAACTCGTCCTTTCCCAAGTGCATTAGGTCGTGATGATGATCAAAGGCTCCGCCTCGGCCGTGGTCTTGTTCCGTGAGCTTTTTACCAAGCTCTCGTTCGTGCGGCCTGGTGCAACGAGATTTGGCACCCAGGTCATCATGCTCGGCAGGTTCCTTGAGGTGAAGCGCGCGTTGAGGGCGATGGTAATCAACGAGGAATGGGAGGATGTAGCGGTGGCAAAGACGGAGGAGGGGATGGAGGTTAGGAAGCTGCTTTTGGACGACGTTTTTTGGGACTGTGGGACGGCCGTGCACCGCCTCATGACTCCCATCTACGAGGTTCTTCGCGCCGTCGACACACGGGCTCAAGTCATGGGGCAGCTGTACGGCCTCATGCTTGAAGCCACGGTGAAGACTAACGCGGCGGCTGAGACGGCTGGTGAGTGAGACGGCTGAAAGTATTACGCGAGGGGTGTTGATTGTTAATTTTTTCACCCACCCGGTCATGCTTCCTATCTAATTAGTGCTCTTTATTCACTGTGAGCAGCCGCACACTTCATCAAGCGGACAGGTCTGCTGTTGCCGAAGGACAAGAGCTCCTTTCTCACCTCCATCAAGGCGATCATTGCCAGGAGGTGTGCACAACCCCTTGCACGCCATCGGTTGGCTCCTCAACCCCCGTAACCAGTACATTGGGGAGGTAAGGAATGACAAGGAGATTAGGAAGGGGGTGGATGAGGTAATCCAGGCCCGGGGCGGGGATGTGCAGCAGCGCATAACGCTAGCTGCACAGGTGGTTCAGTTTCACCGAGGGGAGGGCAGGTTGGGCTCTGACGATGCCCGTTGGGCAGCAACTACCTTGGTGGAGGCGGGGCGCATGACGGAGGCGGAATGGTGGTTCCTGTTTGGTGGGGAGGTGCAGGCGCTCCAAGACCTGGCTGTGACGTCTCTGTCACAGCCAGTCACCTCCTCCGAGGTGGAAAGGTACTGGTCGGCGCTGGCACGTGTGCAGAGGCGCGACCGGAACCGCCTCACGGCGAAGAAGATGACTGGCATCACCTTCGTCGCCTTCACACGGCGGGCCCGTGATGCCTTTGATCGAAAGGCAGCCCTGCGTTCCAAGCTCTACCAGGACCTGGGCAACGGCACCCTCAGGGAAGGGGCTGCCATCATCCCGGCCGAAGTGGAGGTGGAGGAAGGGAATGCGGAGGAGGAGGCACCCGTGGAGGAGGAATGCACCATTGATTGGTCGGAATTTGGGAGCATCGGCAAGAAGAGGAAAGGGAAGGCGGGTAAGTCATCTAAAGGGAAGAAGGGGAAGGGCAACGGTGCATGCAAGGGAAATGGGAGGGGAAAAGCAGGGGATGCGGAGGAGGAAGAGGAGGCGGAAGAGAGCGGTGGGGAGGAGGAAGAGCCTGCCCTGAATTCCAAGGGGCGATATGCCTGGGATTGCAGCGACGGTTCAAGTGGGGAAGAGGAGGAGGAAGAGGATGACGAGGAGTATGATGGTTAGAGTGGGGAGGGAGGAGGAAGAGGATGACGAGGTGGTGGAGTAAGAAGAATAGAAGGCAGCACGTTGAGTATAGAGGGGTGGGGATGGTCTTAGGAGGGAATATAGGCTAAAAGCCGGTACTTGCCTAGGTATGCATGCATAGTAAGGGTAGCGGCAGTATTAGTGGAACTTAGCATGCCTGTTTCTCCTTAGAGTAGGTTGTTATGGGTTTCCTAGTCTTTGTTGTAGCCATTTCAGTAGATTCTGGAAAAAAAACCGACACAAAAAAAGGCCAACAAAAAAACGACCGAAATTTTGGAAAATCGAACGTATTATACCATCGAAAAAAACGCCCCATATAATACGATAGCCGTATTTTTGATCCTTGGTGCAATGACATGCTTACAGTGCAATGACATGCTTACACTGCCATGACATGCTTACAGTGCAATGACTTGCTTACAGTGCAATGACATGCTTACAGTGCAATGCCATGCTTACAGTGCAATGACATGCTTACAGTGCAATGATATGCTTACAGTGCAATGTCATGCTTACAGTGCAATGACATGCTTACAGTGCATTGACATGCTTACAGTGCATTGCCATGCTTACAGTGCAATGACATGCTTACAGTGCAATGCCATGCTTACAGTGCAATGCCATGCTTACAGTGCAATGTCATGCTTACAGTGCAATGACATGCTTACAGTGCAATGACATGCTTACAGTGCAATGTCATGCTTACAGTGCAATGACATGCTTACAGTGCAATGACATGCTTACAGTGCAATGACATGCTTACAGTGCAATGACATGCTTACAGTGCAATGCCATGCTTACAGTGCAATGCCATGCTTACAGTGCAATGCCATGCTTACAATGCAATGCCATGCTTACAGTGCAATGTCATGCTTACAGTGCAATGACATGCTTACAGTGCAATGACATGCTTACAGTGCAATGTCATGCTTACAGTGCAATGACATGCTTATAGTGCAATGACATGCTTACAGTGCAATGACATGCTTACAGTGCAATGACATGCTTACAGTGCAATGACATGCTTACACTGCAATGGCATGCTTACAATGCAATGGCATGCTTACAGTGCAATGACATGCTTACAGTGCAATGACATGCTTACAGTGCAATGCCATGCTTACAGTGCAATGACATGCTTACAGTGCAATGCCATGCTTACAGTGCAATGCCATGCTTACAGTGCAATGTCATGCTTACAGTGCAATGACATGCTTACAGTGCAATGACATGCTTATAGTGCAATGACATGCTTACAGTGCAATGACATGCTTACAGTGCAATGCCATGTTTACAGTGCAATGCCAATGCTTACAGTGCAATGCCATGCTTACAGTGCAATGCCATGCTTACAGTGCAATGTCATGCTTACAGTGCAATGACATGCTTACAGTGCAATGACATGCTTACAGTGCAATGTCATGCTTACAGTGCAATGACATGCTTACAGTGCAATGACATGCTTACAGTGCAATGCCATGCTTACAGTGCAATGCCATGCTTACAGTGCAATGTCATGCTTACAGTGCAATGCCATGCTTACAGTGCAATGTCATGCTTACAGTGCAATGACATGCCCGTCGCCATCACATCGCACGGCTTCCATGCTGTTGCAATCCTCGCCCCTCTTCCATGTGCTCACACCCCGCACATTCGTTGCGTGTCTCCACACCCCGCTCACATCACTCCATTCGTATGCTAGACTCGCCAAAGCTTCCACTGCCATCCATCCAGGACACCATTCATGCCATGCCCCATGCCATGCACCCATGCCATGCACCCATGCCATTCACCACACAAGGCCGCATATCCTCCCAGATCTCGTGTTGGAAACATTCCCAGGGGAGGGGTGAGCAGAACGAGGAGAGGGTATAGGGATGGAGGTGGTATGGCGGGAGCGGCAGCTGCCACCAGCAGTGATTGCTGTTTGCTGGTACAGAGTTTATATTGCGTGCTGAATCGGGTTACTGTCACGGATGACGCTGACTCATCTGCACCCTGGGCGGTATGGAACACGGCATGGCTGACTGACAGGGACCTCTGCCTGTGTTAAGGAGGAGTAGGTGGAGGGACGAGAGCGGGCTTACTGTCAGCACGGCTTACTTTCAGCACGGCTTACTCTCGGCTTAACGGCTTACTCTCGGCTTAACGGCTTACTCTCGGCTTAACGCCTTACTCTCGGCTTAACGGCTTACTCTCGGCTTAACGGCTTACTCTCGGCTTAACGGCTTACTCTTGGCGTCCACCACGGGAGCAGCGCGTGCGAGGGGCATGCAGCAGAGCGCCACCACCAGCGCCACCACCCATCACAAAAATTGAAGGTCTGAAACCCTACCGGTTGGGGTCCATTTGAGATCCTGTTGGGGTCTTTTCATGATCTAGCAAAAAGATTCATTTGGATGGTGACGAAGTCTGGACCAAAATGGGATCTCTCAATTTTGGTGATGCCGCCGCTCTCGCCGCCATTGTGACGCCGCCGCGCCTCGCCATCAGCAGGGATGGTTAGCTGCCGATACGGACCTCTTGTTGCATGCTAAATAGGGTTACGGTCCTGGGGTGGTATGGCACATGGCAGGGCGGCTTACACGGGACATCCGGCTCAAAAAGAGGATGTTGGAGGAATAAATAGCGTGCAGCACGGCTTACTGTCAGCGTGCACCACGGGAGCAGCGCGTGCGAGGGGCATGCAGCAGCGCGCCACCACCAGCGCCACCACCGCTGCTCTCACCGCCATCGTGACGTCGCCGCGCCTCCTCATCGCCGCGGCGCAACGCGGGCCCATCAATGCTCTCCGCGCTCGCTGTCCGCCGTGTGCTCGTTTGCCGTCGCCGATGCCCGCCGATGCCGTTCGGCGAACGCACCCACCGGCGAACGTGTCGGTCTTAACCCGACGCTCTGCACGCACGCCTTTGCCGAATGCCCTGCACACGGCACGCCTTGCTAACGCGCGTGACCCGTACGGTGGGATTGCGATAGATTCGTTGCTATTGCGTTGCTAATACTCAAGGCTTGAGCCGCTGCGTGTGCGCTTTGCAGGGCGGCCCAGGGGTCGTGAGCAAAACAATACTCCTAAATAGTTTCTGCCCCGTTCCACTGCTGCTATAAGATCAATGGTGACTGCAAATCTCGTGTACAAATTCAGCTGAATGGGGACTGCAGTAATTGTCTCGAACACGCTATCAATGCTGAGTGTGGAGGCATCTGTAGACGGGAATCGCGCTGAGTGAATCGAGAATAATGGGATGGTTGGTTTGGTTGGTGTGGTCGTTGAATGTTAGCTCGCGCAGCCAATCTTACCACAGAAGCGTTTCGGATATCTGCAAAACGCTCTGAACCGCACAGCAGCGTCGGCGTTTCTTGAATCAAAAGCTCCGAAGAAATTGAAGACTTGGACTGACCAGTGTGGTTGGTGGGGAAAAGCGTAGTGGTGCGGAGATTAACGCGTTACAGTGAAAATCCAGATATAATAGGGTTGTGTCCAAACTCCAATATGTTAGTCCATTTGGCCTAATTGGCTATGTGTAGTCTAGTATGAAATGTGGGTGGAGACTTGATGATAAATGTAGACTAGGGAAAACATACCAGCACATATAGCATGCAAGTGCGAATCCATTTATTTTTTGAACATTCTGGAAATCCTAACTACGGTATCGGCAACACTACATCACTCCCAATGAGACGGCACCCTCGGTGCCCATTGAGCGAAGGAAACTTGGAGGCAACCTTGGTCTGGAGACAGGAAAAATTACTCAGAATTGTCGCGCCAACGGGCCTATAAACTGGTGAAAGCGAGACCAATGAGGCGGTGATGGTGGTGATAGACAATGCGTGGGACGTGATATCAAGTATGCAACTCAAGAACAACACCATCGTATCGTATTTATGGTACCATATCACGTGGATACGATTATTGAAGGTGCATATCTTGTTGCCAATATCATTCCTGCATTCACGTGGGCACTAGCAAGTGATCTCCACACCCATGGCAGCTTGCCGGGCAGCAAGGGCTCTCTTTGAAAAGAAGTAGCGTGTGGGGGGTCGATTCTTGAGGCGCCTCAGCAACTGCGACACTGTGAAGGCCAGTAGCAGCAGCACCGCCAGTGGAAGCATGAGCAGCAGCAGCAGCAGGTTTTGAGGCGCCTGGAGACCAGACAGAGGACTCCCCAGGGCTGCAGTGCCTGGTGGCTCAGAGGGTGGGTTGGGGAAAGAGAGAGTGGCGGGGATTGGTGTCGGCCGGGTGAGGGAGGAGAGCAAGAGGAGTTGGTTGAAGGGATGTGTGTGCAGAGGAGAAGGGAAGCGGCGGAGCAGGAGCAGAGGTACTGGCGCAAGGGGGGTTGACAGGTGTGAGCAGTGCAGATGGGCTACAGGCAGTGCTGATGGGCTACAGGCAGTACTGATGGGAGGTTGTGGGTGCGTTTACTCTCCACAGAAACACGCCCTTCCAGCAATGTGGCAAACAGGCACGTTGGCAAGCAGGCACATTCGCAAGCAGGCACGTTGGCAAGCAGGCATGTTGGCAAGCAGGCACGTTGGCAAGCAGACATGTTGGCAAGCAGGCATGTTGGCAAGCAGGCATGTTGGCAAGCAGGCATGTTGGCAAGCAGGCATGTTGGCAAGCAGACATGTTGGCAAGCAGGCATGTTGGCAAGCACGCATGTTGGCAAGCAGGCATGTTGGCAAGCAGGCATGTTGGCAAGCAGGCATGTTGGCAAGCAGGCATGTTGGCAAGCAGGGATTGAAAGACAAGATGCAGCAAGGACGAGCTTATGAGGAGAAAGGAACATAAAAAGAGAATGACCATCAGCTAGGGAGCGCATTCATCAGCAGGCATACCGTGAGGGACGTGTCAAAACTATATAGCTTATACTATTGTGTAGGCTATAGTGGGGTATCCCGTAGGGGGTACAACCCAATTAGGGTTTCCTATATGTACTCACTTCGTTCATAGTCATTTCATCTTCGTTCGTTTCTTCTCATGG